TATAAGAACTGTATTCATTTCCGTTCAATAAATATTACTAAGGCTTATTAATAAGATTTTTTTTATCATTTATTTATCTTCACGCACAATCCTTAACGGGGTAGCCAGAGAGAACAGATCGCCAAGTGTCACGATCCTTACATGCCTCTTTCGCTTCTTTCAGGTTCATTACCTTCTTCATACATGCACGTCTAGGTATCCGAGTACTCTTGACCCTCCCCTCTTCGAGCAATTTGCTCACGTGGTCTTCGAAAGTTAGTCTCGGTCTACCTCGACACCTTTTAATATTTATTTTCGCTCTATATATTTTCTTCACCATTCGGTCTTCACTCATTCGTTCAACGTGCCCAAACCATTGGAGTACGCCTCTATCAATTTTTGTGATAAGGTCATCTTTCAATCCTGCCACATTGCGAATCTCTTCGTTTCGCTTTCGGTCGGCTATGGTAACGCCACACATTTTACGAAGAGATCGCATCTCCACTGCATTCAACTTGCTTTTATGCTTCTTCTGGTATACCCAAGTTTCGCTGCCATATAACAAAGTCGGTACCAACACTGCGTTGTGTATTGCAAGGCGTGCACTCTTCACCACGCCTTGCCTTTTTACTAATGCATTCAGGGCACCATTGACTTTGTTGCCCGGCAGCGACACGCCTATCCATATCTAAATCACATCTTCCATCCCGGCTGAAAGCACTCCCCAATTATACAACTTCATTTACCTGTTCTAGACATTCCTGATTTACCCATATTTCACATTTCGTTCTTTCTTCGTCCTTTTCAAATACCAGAACCTTAGTTTTATTAGCATTCAAACGGATACCTTTAATTTCACATTCCTCTTTCATACACGTGACTAATGCCTGCAGTTCTGCTTCTGATGGTGCAATAAGCACTGCATCATCAGCATACAGCAGACAATTAACTTTTATGTCACCCAATTTCACACCCAAACAGCTATTTTTCAGCTTCTGTAAACAGCTGTCGAGATACAGTATGAACAGCCAGGAAGACATGACACAACCCTATTTTACGCCCGCTTGGACGCTAAACATGGGTGACAGGTCATGCCCTACCCGCATACAGGCTTTACAGTCATAGTAAAGTGACTGCACAGCCCTTAACAATCGACCATCCACACCATATCCCGGCAACAGTTCCCACATTTTCTTCCTTATAACCTTATCAAATGCTTTCTCCAGATCCACAAAAGCACAGAAAATCCTCTGGTTAACACTCAGAAGCTTCTCCGTGATCATGCGGAGAGAAAACATTTGATCCGTGCATCCTCTTCCAGGTCTAAATCCGCATTGTGCCTCCCATAAGAATCTTTCCGATTTCTCTTGCATCCTACATGTCAAAATCTTCGAGTAAACTTTACTTGCTAAACTGGTCAAGCTGATCGCCCGATAGCACCCGCAGTCAAAATGTGAACCTTTACCTTTATATAAAGGCACAATGACCGCGGATCGCCAATCATCCGGGACATCTCCCGTCCGCCAGCACAAATTGCACAGCAGATGGAAGCTGTCCCAGACGCGAGGCCCACCGTACTTGACCATTTCAGCAGTAACTCTGTCTAGTCCCGCAGCCTTACCACATTTCAAACTTCGAATCGCACGTTCAATCTCTTTCATGCTGATGATCTCAGTGTCATCGAGGTCCGTGTCTGGCGTGCCAGTAACGGCGTCACCCCCGGATCCTTCACTAAGATCATGACACGCAAACATTTCTCTATAAAATTCACTCCATCGCTGCATGACGTCCGATTTTTCTGAGAGGACGTCATTGGTTCTCGAAAGCACTTTGTTCATTCTTAAGGCTGTCGCACCACTCCGGGACCTTCCAACCTCTTTCCAGAAGAGTTTGGAGTTTTCCCTAAAGTTGTGCGACAACCTCTCGTCCGCTTCTATTCTACACCTTTCACGTACTTCCTCAATCAATGTTTTCGCATGAACTTTCTGCAGCTTATACCTTTCTTTCATCTTCTCTCTCATATGCTCATCGTTCATCTTCTTAATAATCATCTTATTAATAAGGTTTACTAAGAACTGTTTCTACCACAGTTAAGTAATAGTTAAGGGTGAAAACGTGACAGGTGGTGATAGTATTTCTGATCCATACTTACGCCTATAACCCTTGCGAGGTAGGCAGAGCATCAACAGATTACTTAGTATCGTCTGCGAATTTATCGCCTATTCTGTGAATTACAATGTACCAAAACGTTTGAAGAAAATCAGCTGGTGAATTTTATATTTTTTATCGCTCTCTTCCCGGTCCTGCGTGGAAAAATTCAGATCCATACATTTTTTATCTTAATTTTGGTAAAAAGGCATAATAATCCAGATATTCTGACCTTCGGTGTTCGTCTGTCGTACCGTCGTCCATCTTGTAGAATCACGGTGGCGCCACCTAGCTGAATTTAATTTTGCAACATATTCGATTTTCCCACGGGAATGATATGTTTTTCCGCTGAAAAAAGTAGCCTATATCACTCTACAGCCATCGAAATATCCCCATACAAAAAATAATGCCATGCCGACGCTCTGTTGCGACGAAAGAAGGACAAACAAGCAAACAAACAAACACACTTTAGTATGATTTCATGATTCCGGTTAGATTTTATAAACTCTTTAGGCCGTTTACTTAAATAAAATGGTATCATTTTTAATGTGTAATACCATTAAGTTACGTTCAAATTTCTAATGGGCCCATAAACGATTATCTGCTTTTCAAGGTCCTTTTTTAATTATATCATAGAACACGCTTAAGTAACTGATGCAGCTGATATTGTTATCTACATATTATGTATAATAAGTGGTATGAATTAGAAAGACAAAGTGCGTTATAAAAAAAAATTCCAACCTTTTCAATATAGCGCGTAACGGCTTTCAAGTCCCATTATCGTCCGAATTATCAATATGCTACGGCCTGACGAGTGCTTGGTGTATATTTATTCGTCTAACAAACAAATAACATAATAATTATAAGTGAGGAGGCAAAATAGATGTTTACCGTCGAATTAATATTACGACAGCACTTTGTTATGGTAACGACTGGTGTTATTTAATGCTCAGATTACGTGACTTCTGGATCTAGTAACTAAATATTGAGAGTAATATTGTGCGAAATTCGTACTAAAGTAAGAGAGAGTGCTGTCACAGGATCGCTTTCAAGTGGCACAAAAACGAAGCCAAAGCCATTCTAAACTTATTGAAAAAACATCTACTTACGTACCCGTAGGCATCTAGGCGTGTAGTGGCAGAGAATGATTATCTACTACTCCATAAAGTGTCGGTGTCTTAAGAGGCGATAGATAGAAATTGAAACAGATGATGGGTGGGTAGTAGCATCTTCAACTATGGCAACCCCCCCCCTTATGCGGTGTCTCTCTATCTATGGGGGAGGCCTATGTTCAGGAGTGGACTTTTATAGGCTTTAATGAATGGATGCATCTAAAATCATTTGCAGCCAACAATCGTTTTAGGTGTGAATGTGTGTGTCTAGTAGTAAAAACTGTGACACTTATTGCCCAGAAGGGTAGGCAGAGACTACAGATTTCCATTTAGCGCGATCCTGACATACCTCTCTTGCTTCTATCACGCCTATATACCTACGCATACATGCTCGTCGGTTAAGGGTACTCCTAATTTGGCCCATTTTCAATATATCGCCAATTTGGTCGATAAACTTTCGCCTAGGACGTCCCTCTCCGACTCATCCGTTCACTTCTACAACATAAATTTGCTTTGTCACTCTTTCCTCATTCATTCTTTCTACATAACCAAACCACCGAAGTATTAATTTATTAACCCTAGTCACATCATCATCTTGCAAACCACACTCTTCTCTTATCACACAATTTCTCACCCTGTCACTCAGATTGAGCCCTAACATACACCCTAACGACCGCATTTCTACTGCGTTTATTTTAATCTCGTGCTTCTTCTGCCACACACAACTTTCACTATCATACGTTAAAGTAGGGACTAACATAGTGGTGTGAATTGCCATATGTGCCTTATTTGACACATTCTGTCTTTCCACAATGGAGTGAAGAGCCCCATTTACTTAATTTCCGGCGTTCACTCGTCGTTCAATAACCTTATCATATCTCTTAGCATTTCCCTTTATAATTTTTCCCCGATTTCGTGGTTTAATGGTAAATAAGGACCAAATTTGTAAAGCCTAGTTTATCTTTTAAGCTTAACCAGACATCATAATATCTTAATTTTACCAAAATAAGTTCAGCAGTTTAGTCATGAAAGCTTGACAGATATTCACATTAAAATAGAAGATTATGTATGAATTTTCTTTCCGATATACATTTTTGCAGCAGATTATGTTTTTGTCTTATATTTTCTTAAGTAAAATTTAAAATTGACAACATTATATAATATATAGGTGTGACATGAACGTTACACATGATCTTTGTTTTGTCCATGTTCTTCTAAGACCTATCCGTTGGGAGACACTATTGTGGTCAATGAACATAGTGTTTAGATTCTCCAGCGATTCTGCCATAAGGACTATATTATCGTCGGCAAATCGAAGGTGGAAGGAAAATGATGTACTCGCCATTAGGTAATACCGTATCGTTTCCAGTCTTGTAGCTTGAAAACGTCTTAGAATGCATCGTTGAAGAGTTTCCGGGATACAAAGTCACTCTATCTTACACCTTTCTACAATTGGATAGGTTTTGTACTCTGGTTCTGTACTCGGATAGCCATCGTAGCCCTACTGTACAAACACTTCAGCACTTCGATATACCGACAGTCAACTTGGCACCGCTGAAGGGACTAAAACTAAAACTATAAAAACTAAAAATAAAACGCTATTATTTAGCATTGCATTCTAAGATAAGGCATACAAATAATAACATCATAAGTTATCGTAACTTCATTAGGCTATCAGTATGTTTGACCCAGACTTATCTTGACTGACCGAGTCGTCGACTTCATTCCACATAGTAAACGCATCAAGTAAACACTTTAAAAATGTTTAAAGCTCTTATATTATTAGTCTCTTTAACAACTGTACTAGCAGAAACTGATCTTCACAAATTTGAAGGAGAATGGTACCATGTGGCCACCTACTCTGCAGCGTCAGACCTGCATACCTGTGATTTGTTTAACATCACACTCAACGGAATGCCTTGTGAATGTGAAGGGAGACCGGCTTCTGGCTTAAAGTTCAGTATGGTCACGTTACCAGTTATCGTCGTGAAAGACTACAGCGAGGTAGAAGCCGCATTAGCACGGAACTGCACCACTCTCAATGTAATGAAGACAATGGCGGTCCGACTGGTAAATGATAATTTCTTTGTAGCATACGAAAAGTGTTATAAGTGCACGGAGAAGGAACCGAATACGGCGAATCTGATGGCGAAGTTCCTGCCATCGAAGAAGGAATTGGAGAGTTTGGAAGGAATAGACGAGTTAAAAGGAAGGCGTAGTATGACTTGTTATCTTATACAGTGACAGTAATTAATGAATTTATTCATTTATGTGGTATGTACATTAGATATTGATTTAAATTTATTCATATATAATTAAAGGTTTTTATGACTAGAAAGTAACTTTTATTAGTGCTCAGAAAAGAAAGGTGAATGTAAGTTTTTCCTTCGGAATCAGAATCAGAATCAGATTTTTTTTTATTTGTGAAACAGGTATACATATTCAATAGGTGGTCATACATTTGATAGTGCGCTGTGTTTTATCGTAAGACATACAAATATTTTCACAAATTGAATAGTCTAAAATTAACATATTTTCATAATTGTTATAATTAAATAATATTCATAAAAATAGATACAAACTCATAACAAATTGCAAGCATAAGTTTATTAATATCATAATATTGTATCGTTTAAAAACTCGTCAATTGTTTAATAACATTTGTCAAGAAGAAGTTTTTGCAGTGCTATTTTAAATTTTAACAGTGGTGGTGGAGCGACGAGCCTAAGGTTACCGAAGTCTAATTCCCCGGTCGAACCTTAAACCTATTACGCGAGATATTAACCAAAGTGGACTGTATATGCGAAATGCTTCTACGTTTACATAAAATGGCGACTATAGCACGCGGTTTCCCATACAATGCACTCGCTCTTCCCTAAAACGAACTATTATTTGCCAAATTTATGAAATGAATCCTGCTTGACTTGTTGGAGAAAATAAATTGGAGCGGACACAATTATATCAAGCAGTAACTATTAAGGAATATTTACTCACCGGGGTGTTGCTTCTATGCGGCTTGGGCACTAAGTCTGTTGCAAATTCTGGAAGACACTCTGGGTAGACTCTCTGGGGCCCCAGCCTTTCTTGTCCGTCGGGAGAAAGTGCGGTGCGCGACTATTTCTCACACGAGGTGAGGCGGGTTTCCTGGAGTTCGACTGCGTCCAAGCTAAAGCGGTATACTAGCGGTGCGCGTGGACACTATTGTCTTAAGCGGTGTGGTTCCAACGACGAGCGCGGCGGGAAGAGAGTGCGCGTTGGCCGCGCGTGCCTTTTTATTCCTTCGGTTGCGATGATCGCGTAATATTCTAGAATCATCTTCTTTCGCCGCCGAGCACGTGGTAAATCAGCACTTATAACTGTAATTAACAATTTCGTTTGTGCCGGCGGGGATCGAACCCAGATTATCGCGTACTGTGAAATTTATAGCGTGCGATAACCATCTGAGTTACCATGGCTCTCCTACCACATAGTAGTAATCAATTAATTTATAACTGTTATCATGTATACTTATTATATTTTGTACCATGTTGGACTTATACCTCCCGTGTTAATTTGAGACAAAAAATGTTTGTAAATTTTTATATTAAGAATGTGATTGTGATAAGTGACGGGGCAAACACCTATCACTTCTTTCAAAATTATCCATATTAGCCCATATTTTTTGGGTAAGCGTGGTCCTAGTAGCTCGCTGATCTTTGTGTTTTTTTGTTTATGCCCAACCCCTCGAATATAACAGGTGTGACTTAACCAAGGACATTTAAGGTTAAGTAGTAATAATAGACCAGACATCAGCAACAAAATTTTCGTCTGTAACTATTGTCCTATTGGATATATCTCCAATTTTTGTCATTTAATCCTGATTCCATGACACCAATGACATCGTCAAATGGTCAAGAAGCATTCGTATCACAATTCCTTTTGAATGTAAATATTTACAATGTCCACTCTATAGTATATACATTTAAATCTCTTTGGGCTTAACATACATATGTATGTATGTAAAAGTTACAGCCTGTACGTCCCACTCATAATCACAGACCTCCTATCATCACTTAGATGGGAAGGGAATATCCATCGCAATGTCCCAATGCGCGAGGGTGGATTTCACAATATTTGATATATTTTTCTTATTTATAAAAATGCTCGTTTCTCTTTTGATCGTTTCCTTCATCGCTGAGCACGTTGGTAAATTAACACGTAAAATTGTAAAATTTCTTTAGTACTTGTTTCGTTCGGGATTCGAACCCGGGGTACCTTAAGGTATACTCGGCGCCGCTCAATGCTAAACCACTGAGCTATGCAGTCATCATTTATCTCCCAGGTACCTTTAAACAAATTATGTACTGCTATAATTATGTTTGTAATGTAGAATTGTACTAGCAAGGGGTTCTAACCACTAAAAGCTACTGTTTGCACGTTTCTAATAAAGTACTCTCCTAAAGGTTAAGATAACGTAAGCCGGCTATTAGGAACAGGGTTATCTTATTTCAATGAACTTGTTTATTTTTCAACATGAATGTCTATATGCATATTTAATTTGTCTTGTGAATACATATTTGGGTAAACATATCGGGTGCGTTTGGCAGAAAAAAAGCGCTAGCAAGCGCTTACTAGCGCTAAAATAGTTTTCCGTCAGGACACGATTGCTACTTCAGTAGCGCTGACACAATCCGCCATTTCGATTATTTAATTTGTTTGTTTTGAAGTAGAGTTTATAAGTTGTTTTTTTTGCAATATTAGTTTTAAGTAATATAATGACATGAATAGACATATACATGTTATTAAAAATTCATGATTGGTAAGTTTTTAATATGAATACTTCACAAAATTTTTTAGGTTAGGCCCCTTTGGGTTTTTGCCTTTTTCCACAAATCAGTTTTAGTTATACTAATTAACTACGCCCCCCTCCCCCTAAAACCTCAATAATTACACAGCCGACCTTAGGCCACCCCTTAGATTGCCTCATAAGTTATTAACCGCAGTTTTATAATTTACCAGTTGTTATTAAGAAGACCAATAGCTTTGATGGTTACCGCTCGTTGTAAATTTCATAGTACGCGAGCAAACCGGGCTCGATTCCCGCCGGCACCTATGAAATTGTTAATTGAAATTTTAAAATGCTCATTTATTACGTGCTCGGCCGTGAAGGAAACATCATGGGGCAATCTGCATGTCTGAGAAATAAGAAAAAAAATAATTCGAAGTTATTTGAAGTTCGCCAACACGCATTGGAGCAGCGCGGCGGAAACTTCTTTGCCTTAAAACCCTTTCAGAAATGAAGGGAGGCCAGTGCCCAGTAGTGGGACGTATTTCGGCTTTAACCTGTTGCCTCTTACGAAACCAATTATTACGAAAAGATACTATTGAACGCCATTATACGTAATTTAATATTATATTACGTCGATTTATTTAGAATATCGGAGTATGTTTCCTTGCCGTAACATGATAGATTTGCTTTGGGGTTAAATGCTCGATATATGTTTTACAATACATTCCATGGCACAGTACCATAGTAATAAGTTGCAGTATTGCGAGCCGCGGATTCGAATCCCGAACGGAACAAGTATTTGTATGGACTATGCCTTTGCGCAATATATGTATGTAAACTACCTGCACGATACATAAGAAAATCTCAGTGTGTTTATTTGAAATAAATATAACAATGTTTTATAGTAAGCTAGTAAACCGGGTTCAATCACCGCTTGTAAATAATTTCATCATGAGTTGGAGTTTTGAGTGATAATTTGCCACGTGCTAGGCGATAAAGAAAACAAAAGAACACGTTGTACTGATTGGGAACCCCTTAAGAACATGAGAAATGTTAAAGTAAAGAGAAAGCCACGCACGTCTTTCGTTTTTTTTCTTATAGAATAAGGGTGAGTAACGAGCACACAGTCCACCTGATAGCAATTGGATGCTGTGGCCCATAGATATCTACATCTATGAGTTGTCACCCCTGAGAACTAAGATGGATTGCCTCGTTTCCAGCTATAACGTTTCTCCGGATCTCTACACTCACCATAGAAAACACAGCAGTATCAAGCTGCTATTTTACGCTGGTATTCTGTGAGAGCGTGGTCCTTGCCCAGTCGAGCCGACTCATTCGTGCTACAAACACAATATAGCTGCAGCGTGGCTCTACCATGTTTAAATATCGTTGTAGAGAGAATTTGTCTTTAGCACTTGGCGAGCAGCAGCCAGGGTAAGTGACCATTTTTCTAAAACCTGAGTGACAAGTGAATTTGCAGTCAATCTGATATTAAGTGGCTGCTGCAGCATATAGGAACCTGCAGCTAACTTCATACAAAGGAAGCTACAGATGCGGTGTAATATGGAATGTCTCATAGCCTTTTTTTAAAGAATAAGAACGGCAAACAAACACAAAATCCGTCTGAAGGTAAGTGGATACTGTGGCCTATAGACATCATCATTTATCCTCGTTTATGGATGAAAATGCAGATGCTTTGTCATCCTACAGTACTAGAATGGAATGCCTACCAAACACAGCAGCATTAAACTGCTATTTTAAGTTGGTATTCTGTGAGAGCCTGGTCCCTATCTGGTCGAGTCGACCCATTCGTGCTACAACTATCGAAATCGAATTATATATAGCTATATATATAGCTGCAGCTTGTTTCGACCGCGTAATCTATATCTATAAAAATCTCGTGTCACGTTGTCTGTGGTCATAATATAGCTGTAGCTTGATTTTACCACGTAATTATCAAAATCTTTACATTTAAGGATTTCTTAGGCAAACAGTACTTAATTGTAAATTGATAGCATGGTATAATTACCTTTAAGTGATTGTACATTTTAGAAATAATACAACTGTAAATTTTAATTAAAGATATAATAATGTATCAATCGCTGGTAATTTTTTGAATAGGATGAAGGCACTTGATGGGTTGGCTGGGGTTTCCGTTGGGTCGATGAAATAAATAAAAAAAGGAAAAGATGTTTCACCGACTGTTATTATACTGGCTCTTTTTATCGTCTTTGTATCTGTCCAAAACATAGCAAGCAATGTTAGGTATTTGACACCAGTAAATGGTAAAAGAGTGGTAGGATCCCAGGCAAACAAGTCCTACCACGTAGTAAAAACACACTTTATTTAATCCCATGTAAATATCTGTTAAACGTGGTAGAGCCATCCTGCAGTTATATTAGTAGTATAATTGTAGCACGAATGGGTCGGCTCGAATGGAGAAGAACTACGCTCTCACAGAATACCAATGTAAAAT